CAAAACAGCAGCGTAATCCGGGTCCGTGTGTCCTGGCATTACAGATACGCTTACACCGCTCAGAGCTGGAAGCAAGCCTGTTACGTCCCTCCGACCTGCACGCACACACACACAGCCGTGAGTTTTAAGTTTTTCTTTATACAAACATGAAACGGTCCACCAGAAAAGAGATCATACTCACTGCGTTAACAATGATTTTAACACGACTATACAGGCTCTCGCTGCACTCGGACTGTGTAGTGACTGCAGAACATAGGCTTTAAATTACACAACAATATTAGCCTGGCTCACGCCAGACCCAATTCTCGTTGAGACTTGCGTCTGGGAACCACATGTTCATTTTCTCGTATTTGAGGCGTGGTTTACGAATGCCCAGAGCCGTTTATTGGGTGCTAAGAATATCTATCAAATGCGCCTGTACGTAGCTCATAGCCAATCGTTTCGATTATACCAGATGAAGTATGTAGAGCGATAGAAATTAGACGAGGGAGACGACGATGGCCGATGGGTCAGAGATTTATGTGTAGCCTACACGATGGCGTGTATCTAACGGCCGTTTCACACCGCATGCGTGAGCGGCGCGTATTTTTTTCGGCGTGCATGTTAAGCAATGAGTGCATTCACACCGGGAGCAGCGCGTGAGCGTCGAGCAGGAGCATCAGTGAAGCGGGGGTTTCGAATCTGTTTTTTGCTGCATTGCTTACGCTAAATTAAAGTGAAAGCACACTTTTGATGGACAAAAATAAATGTGATTTCACACAAAAAGTTTTAACAAGAACTTGAGTAGGCAAATAAAAGAAAATAAAGACTCTAAAATATTTATAGAAGATTTACCCGGTAAAAACTTGTTTTTAATTATTCAGTTTGGGTGAAAGTTGTGTATTATATAAATAAAAATAAAAAAAAGTAAACTAGCCAGAAAATACATATAAACGTTAGTTCATGTAACGTTAACACACAGACAGCTACAGGCTAGCACAACCCAAATCAAACCCGAGTGTGTGGTTTATTTGTGTGTTTTGTTTTTTATCCGCGGAGTTGCGGTCTTGTAAACATCGAAAGTATGACTGAAACTAATAGATTGGAGCCATTTTCTGGGTTGTTTTGTTGTATTACATTTAACTTATATGCGAATGTTGTACACCTCCCCATTACAAACTTTCAAGACTATCAATGTTATAAAATGACCAACTTCTAAAAACAAATGTTTAGTTGTCTTTGTAAAGAATTGCTCGCTTATATATAATGCCGAAGTCATATTTCAATGTCTTTGGAAAACAAGAAAAAACACAAAATGACTTAAGCAATTATGCTATGAGGCTAAGGATATGTAACTTTGGAGCCGCTGCTGTGACACTGTCTACAAACGCTTCCAGTGTGAATACTCTCGCCCGTCTGCAGCTGCAGTGACGATGTTCCGCTGACGCGCTGCTCAAATGCCGCTCACGCTTGCGGTGTGAAACGGCCGTAAGGCTGCATCGAAAGGTAACTTCGCGTCTACTGCCATGTTTGATCCATAGGTATAAACAAACTGCTTCGGTGTGTCGCATAGACGCGTCATCGTCTTGCTGCTCCCTCCCCGTTCTGTGATTGGTTCCCTAAATGAGGCGAAAATTTGGTCCATGGTATCCATACCACCTTTCAGCGTGAATAAAATCGCGCTGCGGGAAGGCAGTATGGGGAAACCCAGACTACAACAATATTAGGAAATCACATTCCACGTCTCATAGATTCACATACCTGATCGAACAATGAACGGAATAAATGCCCCGGACCACACGACTCCACTAGGAAAAGGCAAACAGGATGCCAAAAGCAACGTGCACACCCAGCCATTTGAACGCTGTGCTTTTATTTAGAAGCGCAATCATGGTAATGATCAACCAGCCGGTTACCGCTAAATCTACTGGGTAGATAATTCCAGTTCTCCACCAGGGGGAGTTATCGGGGAAATTCCCAATCCACTACATATAGTATATATAGGCGTATATAACCCCCCAAAATGACACCTGACATTTATGATGAATTTATGTTGACCCTTATTTGACCCTAGAATTCAAGACTGGAGAATAGAATTTACAAAAAAAGTTTCAACTTAAGACAGTGTTAAATAGGTGTTAGAAACTAACATATGAAACTACTGCTAAAGAAAACAAGCATTTACACAATTGGACTTTTAACCCAAAACCTCAGTCACTGTGTGACAACTAGCCCCAGTTTCCCTATGTTTGTTCCTTACTAGTTCAAATGATGCTGCTGTGCTTCTGGACAGAGAACAGAGGTTGTAAGTGAGAAATGATTGACTGAAGTCAGTGAGAGAAATAAAGTAAGTGTCGTGTTGTGATGGTTGGCCTTCATATCCGGCTGCATGAAGGAAGCTGTAATTGTCTGGAATCTGGTGCAAAGTTCAGAGTCTCTGTACATAAGCAGCGTGTACATTCTTGTGTTATTGATGTAAGGCATTTTTTATTAGGGCACATGGACATGGAAAGCTTTTAACAGATATTGAACTTTGATGGGTGGTAGAGAGGAAGATAGTACGAGATATATATAAATGATCTTTAACATCAAAGCAATGCATGTTTGCACTAATTACCATCAGACTATTTTAGTCCAAAGGCTTGTGTTGTGGAATTTGAACCAAAATGCCCCGTGCAGTCTGTCCCCTTGTGGTACATTTAAGAATTATTACAGGCTAACATTCCTCATGCCCTGAGAATGACCCTTTAAAAAAAAAAAAAAAAAAAGCCAGTTGGCTGCATTGCTGTGGGAATCTTGCTGGACTCAGAACAGACATTGGACAAATAAAGTCCAAGAGCTGATGCCTGAATGAAGTTCTGACCAACAACATGACAGAGTTATTAATCAGAGCATGACTGATTCTCTAAACAGGCCGTAGGCAATTCAATCCAAGCATATTCAGTTCAAGCTAATTATCTGCTGGCCCAGTCAAATGAGAGGGAAAAAATAGCAAAAGTATAAACTCAGTGACCACCAGAAATGGTGCCCAAAATTAGCACTTATGTAAAAAATTTGGTCACCTTTTATTTCTTTTCTGCAAGCTAGTGATTAATGTTTACTATGCCTTCATCACCTGCTTTTACCATTGGATAGCAGTTTTGGGTTGAGTTTTTGGGTGGGGTTGGATTATATTTTGTATTGTTTTGTATTATTTTGTTTGTATAAAAAAAGGTATAATGATCTTCTGCTAAAGTAGCCTACCAAATAAAAACATTTAAACACAATTAGCACTTATGTTAATAAATATATAAATTTATGAATTTATTATTGTATTTTGGTAAACTATTATTGTTATTACTATTATTATCATTAATGTTTTAATAATAATAATAATTATGATTATTATTAGAATTATTAATATTATGAATATAATGATTTTTTCTTAATAATAATGATAATAATATAAAATAATAGTAATAATTTTCTATTGTCATATTATTATTATGTTTTGTATCCTTCAAGCTTAAATTTCAATGTAATCATAAATGTTTTTGGGTGAACAATGGAAAACTATAATCTTTCCATTTGTGCATTTTTTTATTTATGATATTATATTTATTGGCAAATTAATAATAATGTTAGAAAATAAAAATAAGCTAGTGTGTCTAGTATATGTAGAATTATTATTATGTTATTAGAATATATATTTTTTTGTATCCTTCAAGCTTAAATCCCATTATATATATTGGGTATACAAGGTAAAACAACAATTAATTTGTGCATTTATGTGTTATATTTATTGTTAAATAATAACAACAACAATATTAATAATAAATCATAATAATAATAATTTCATTATAACTATTATGATCCAAAACTCTCGTTATTCACTTATAGATACAAATATAATAAATAAATTCACAAGTAGATAGACAGAAAACTCCAGACAACTAATGTAATGTTTCAGCCCTGGTCAGGAAAAGTCTATTCCTCTGAGCCACAGCAAATCAAATCATCTCAAACCATGCAAATTTGAAGAAACTGAAAAACAAAATAGACCTGAACATGTTTTAAGACATATTGAGAGCCATTGTTGAACAATGTCAGATGGTAATTGACAATGTTCCCTTTATAAATCCCAGACAGTTACAGCTGCGGGTGGTCTGGCTGACTGAAAAGTTTTTACTGAGACTGTGTCTCATCTGATTACAATAACGCAGCCCAAACGAGCCATTACTAAACTGACAATGACAAATAGCCAACATGGTGTTTCATCAAGAAACTTTTAAATCAGAGATGACAGAATAGGCCGCTACCTCAGCAGGAAGCAAATAAATAGTCAAAAATTTATTACAAATGAGCTGTGATAATGAGTCTAAATTATGCAGAAATAATTTCACACGAGTAAATATTTATGCCATGCCAGTTTACAAGACATTCAAGTGGCATGTAGCACTTGAAGCACTTCCGGAGCACTATAGACAAAACAACTGAGGACCATTTCCATGAGACAACAACAAACACGAGAACTTCCCACAGAACTTCAGGGAAGCTTAAATAAATACATTCATCGGAAAGATTTCGAGCAGAATATTGTTTATGTTTGGTTAGGCCTATTAATGTGTCTGTGTCGCCATGGTCCGTGCAGAAATGACTTTCAAAAATAAAACCTGAAAATATTTACTTGACTAAAAGGATACATAATAATAAGTTATAATCTAAATAATAAACTTTGGGGGAAAACACAAAAACACGTAAAAGTGTACATAATTAAGGTACACACTCTGCAGCCTGATTCATTTGATCTAGTTTTCAAAGTGGTCAGTAGGCGTCGCTGTTTCTAAACGCCAGTGAAAACTTAATATCATTTTTTGTCCCCTATGACTTTCCGTAGCAGCTGTACGTGTGCAAATCATTCCATTCTCAAAACTACAGCACTTATGCTTATTTCAGATTTAGTTTAAAGTAGTTTAAATTATAAATGTGAGTTCTTTCTTAACGAACATGAGTCTACTAACATGAGTCTACTAACCCTAACGTTTTGAGACAGTAACCGATAGCGTTTAGTTTGGTAACTGATGGCATTACTATATGCTGTGGTGAGTGGTGTTCTTCTCACTGCTGTAGTATTAATAACAGTGTTTATTTTACGATTATTTGTGATTTTGCGAGATGGATCGGAATATAAACCAGGACAGAAGGGTTCTGTGTCAGTTCTGGTGGTGGCTGGATCAGGTAAGAATCAACCTTGCAAACAGCATTTACAGAGTAAAATATAATATATATATAACAAGTAACGTTATACAGTATGTGTATTTATAGTTTATTATAGTGTGTATATAAGCATACTATATATATATATATATATATATATATATATGTATAAGCCAATTAACTTTATTGTTTTTGAGGGTAATTTGTTTCGAGCAGCGTAACTTACATGCTTAGACAGCAACATAATAACACAGCAATTAATACCATAAAACATCACAATATTATGTCACTTCCTGCAGGAGTGTTAAAGGGATGTTAGTTAAAGGGATTGGAAAATAAGCTCAAAACGAAATAACGTTAGTAGAATTTATTTGAAACTCACCCCAATGTGATTTTTTTTTTACAATTCTTTAAATTTTACTGTGTATTTTACTTTTTTGTACTTTAAAACTGAATAAACATAATTTCTCTAATTTCACCAAAATTTTATTTAAAATGTAACTTTAATGTGATTAAAGTTGCTGAAAGAAATGGTGACAGATAGATAGAAGATGGATAGATATAGATTCATCCTTCCATTTAATTTTTACATTTGTATATTTTAACTTAATTTTAACTTTGTTTTGATATTAATAAAAAGGTAACATCCATTTTATTCGCCAACTAGCATATATTTCAACAATTATCCTTTATTATTATTATATTATTGACTTTAAATGTTTCTTTTCTGTCTCACTTAGGAGGACACACAACAGAAATCATCCGTCTGTTGGGGAGTTTATCTCAGTCTTATAACCCTCGGCATTATGTGATCGCAGACACTGACAAAATGAGTGAAGAGAAGATCCAAACTTTTGAAGCAGAGCGGAAGAAAAGTGATTCAACCTCTCAGGTGATGGATCTCTCTTATCTTTTTTTTTTTTTTTTTTTTTTTAGATACAAAAACAGACAAACTTTCAGACAATAAACAAGTTATAGATCAATAGTTAACAAGAAAAATGATATAAAGAAGCCTGGTTTATCTAGTGGAAATTATTTAGAAAGAGATAGAAAAGAAAAAGAAAAAAAGTGGGGGCACAAAAAATGAAAAGCATATTATGAAAGAATATTAAACATGGTACAAATTCTAGATGCTTTTATAGATTTCTTGTTTACAGACGTTGAGATTGTATTTAAGTACAACTTCAATTCTTGTTTGAAGATGTCAAAGCGGGGTTTACTTTCGTATATTTACATTTATGGATATACAACTTTCCAATAAATAAAAGGAGGTAAATACAAAAAACTACTTTGATTAGATTCTTGTCATTCATATAAAACCCAAAAATCACAGAACACATTTTGGGCAACCGAGGTAATTAACATTACTCCAGAATAAGTGATGGATCTGTACTGAACATATTTATACCCAAAAAAAACCTTTTTCTGTGGAACTCTAAAATTCTCATTGGTTTTGTCTTACTTTGACCAGCAGATGGCAGCAGTTCCTTTGTCTTTTCATGTATTTTTATATGGCTGTGATTTTGAAATGATAGATAGATAGATAGATAGATAGATAGATAGATAGATAGATAGATAGATAGATAGACATTCCCTCATTCAGTCAGATTTACAATGTTTTTCTGCTTATATTCTCACTAAAACCCTGACATTTGTCATGTTTTCCTTTATTTACTGTACACAGTTCACTCTCCACTGGATTCCTCGCAGTCGGGAGGTTCGTCAGTCATGGAGTTCCTCCGTTCTGAGTTCCCTGAGCGCTCTGATGTCATCCGTACCGCTGGTCTTTAGGCTTCAGCCGGATATGGTGTGTAACTTCTCCTCTCATTCATCCCCCCATCATATCCTCATTAAGTATTAATTTCCTCTTTTCTGCAGAGTATTCTGTATAACACCCTCCAGAAATAGCACATCATAACATATTTATGAGATCATGCCTATGGGCAACCCAGCTCTATTTCGAGTATGATTAGAGCCTTTTATTCAAATTTAAATATAAACATTATGCAAACATACTTATGGATATGATGAATATTAGTTTGCATTACCAGATTAAAATATGTTATTAAGTAGTAAAGACAAGTCACATTTATTTATATAACGCTTTATACTGTACAGATTGTTTCAAAGTAGCTTCCCATTAATAAACAGGAAAATAACAGTGTTAATGTTGTAAAATTATGAATCAATTAAAACAACTTTAATTTCATCTCTAGCAGCTCCACATATGACAATAGTGTCATTATTCTGCTCCGTTTAGTTCAGTGTTGTTTCAGTTCAGTTCAATAGCTGTCAATGTTGCAAAGTTCATCAATTATAAGCACAAAAAAGACAAAAAGTTCAGGTGTAAGCAGCTCTACAGAAGACACTAGGGGTATTATTCAGCTTAAGTAACATGCAAATGTATTATACTGTGTTATTAATGTACCATATTGCTCATCCTTTTTTAATGTGCTTTCTAAAGCAAATCTCTGTAACTACGTGTCTTCAGATTAACACTGTGGCGTCTTTTGCCCAGTCCATAACCTTGAGAATTCAAACATCCTGTGCACTGTTTTGGAAAACAGCTTTTTATAAATATGTCATGTCATCTGCAAAATGTAGTCCAAATTCTGTGCTTTTCCTGAATGGTTTGACCAGAGAAATACAGAAGCAATGTGTTTGCGATTTGTAGGAAGACACATCATGGCCATATTCCAGGATGACAATGCCAAGATTAATCAGGCTTAAATTGTGAATGAATGGTTGTGAGGGAGCATGAAGAATCATTTTCACACATGAATCGGCTCTTGAGTCCAGACCTTAAATTCAGTGAAAGTCTTTGGGATGTGCTGGAGGAGACTTTACAGAGTGCTGGACTCTTGCATTGGCAATACAAGATCTTGACCAAAAATGGATGGAAATAAATGTTGTGATGATTTTGTAAATTGTACATATAACATGCTAGAAACATAATAATCACTGCAATAATGATCTGGGGCCGTATTCACAAAGAATTTTATCTTACCACTAGGAGTACTCCTAAATCGCACTAAAATATTTTAGCTAGAAGTTTTCTCTTAAAAGTTATTCACAGCGCCTTTCAGACCTACTCTTAGTAAGGAAAAATGGCAACTCCTAAACTAAGAGTGAGTCTTCGTTGCTATGGATGACGTCAATTCTCATGCACGAGCTTCCTTGCAATAATCACGGTGATTGGTTGTTAGATGACAGGGCCATCATGCGGAACACAACACAGACGCAACAAATCATGGAATTACCACATCTAAATATGTCTGTGTCCTACACAAAATAATAACAGTAATGTCATCGAAATGCATATATAATGACATGTTTGTGCAGGCCCCAGTGAAGTGTAATTCTAAAAAGGCAGAGAGAGAGAGAGAGAAAAGTCGTGAATTAAATTAAATTAAATCAAGGTAATACCCCAATGAAAACCGCCACTTGACTAATAATGAAAAAACGACACTTGCATTAACACTTGCTTGGTTAATTGACATCCTATTAGCCTAAATAGACTACTTAAAGCAAGGAAATGTTGCTCCTATTGAAGTAATGTAATAGTTGAATGACAGTGGATGATGAACTCGCCAAAACGGAAAAGAAAGCCCAACTGGACGCAGGATCAGTTACTGCTGCTGGCCCAGTTGGTGCTGAAAAAAACCCATAATAAAAGGGAAATTCGGCACTGGGATATCAAGCAAAACTAAGCGTGAGAATGGGAGAGGATTTGTTTGCAGATCAATGCAGCATTCCCGCTTGTGTCGCGGACCCCGGACGACTGCGAGAGGCGCTGGTATGCGCTACAATCCTTTGTGAATAGGTCTTAGTGAGTTAGGAGTCCTCTCGACTTCTTTTAAGCTGTCCCAGACTTAGGTGCTACTTTTAGGGCTAAAATGCTTCGTGAATTACTCTTAGTGAAAAAAATTAGGAGTCCTAAAGGTAGGAGTGACACGCCCATTAGTTTTATGAGTTGCTCCTAAATTCGCCAGTTAGGAGCCACTTTTAGCCTTAAAATTCTTTGTGAATACGGCCCCTGGTCATAGACTCTTAAGCATTTGCCTATTTAAATCCAAACAGCGACTTTTTTTTTGGGCCGGGCAGTGTACTATTTCACTTTGAAATGCGTCATATTTTGGAAGTAAAATTGGTTTCATATGCCATTGCATGTTGACATTAATAAGAGGTTTGTGAATGAGATCTGTGGTGCTTTCTTCAAGCACAGATTCTGTCTAGTGCACAAGAACTCGCTATGCTAAACCCTAACCAAGATATTAAAGGGATAGTTCACCCAAAAATGAAAATTCTGTCATTATTCATTCCAAACTTGTAAGACTTTCTATGTTCTGTGAAACACAAAAGAAGATAGTTAGAAAAATGTGCTTTAATTGCCGATGCAATAAAAGTCAATAGGATCCGATGTTGTTCGGACAAAATCTTCTTTTGAAAGTCATACGGGTTTATAACAACACGAGGGTGAGTAAATGATGACAGAATGTACATTTTTATACAAACTATCCCTTTAACACAAACAAAAGAGTTGTTGTGCATGTCACACAGCAGCAAAGGGAATGTTTAAGCAGGTGATAAAGACATTTTTTCCTTCAGCAGGTGATAAGACTATCACATTACCGCTGGAAGACTATCTGCTGTATAAGCAAACACTAATCCTGCTGTTTCTCTGCTTGTCTTCAGCAAGAGAGAGAGAGAGAGCTGCTGGGAAAACACTCAGGGATAGATAAAAAAGTGAGAGAGGGGGTTGATTTAGTAAAAAAGAGAGGGATGGGCAGCGTTTAAGCCCTTTTTCAGGAATGATCCGTAATCCAGAGCCCCTTTCTCTCTCTCCTCCTCCTGTGGTTGTGTAATGAAGGGTTGCGAGCGGAGCAGCCGAGGGGTCTTGTTCTCAGGATGTGGCGAGACCTGACTGGCTCCTTGGCCCAGCGGCCTGACTCCTCTCACACGGAGCCAAGCAGTTTCGGGTTTCTGTGTTGCCGTGGAGACCAGCTGAGAGGAGGCGGAGCATGACTAAGCGGCCCGCGCTGCAGTGCTTGAGCAGTAGAGCTCAAAGGTCACAGCTAACCAGACAGATCTCTCACGGACCACCACACTAGTATTCTGTTAAGCTCTAATTAGCGCCCTCTCTCCTCATGCTGACGTCATTTCCTACTTTTCCATTCAGGCAAGTTTTATTAATGGGAAAGAGGATTACAGATTTCTAGGAAACTGAAGAACGACTGGGGCCTTTTTTGTCTTGGATCTGTTGTCACGTTAGTTTCATGGTAAAAGAGTTTAGACAAATTTCTTTTATCGCATACTTTAAAAAAAAAAGAAGAAAAGTTTTCCCTAAAATTAAAATACAAAATAGGAAATTATTAATTTAAATTTTTTTTTGTTAAATATATTATTCTATGTTTACTTATAATATATTTTTATAATAAGACTTTTCTGCATTGTGACATTCATTGCATATTATTTTAGTATTGTTTATATACTATTATATATTTTTTTTGTATTTTGAATTCGCTTTTAGTTTATTTTATAATGTTAGTTAAATTATTTTTTTATTTTAATTTTAGTTAAAGTTTTAGTAATCTTGCCATTTTTATTAAATATTTTTTTAACAATATTTTTGCTTAGCCTCAATTTATTTTTATTTCATTTTAAGTTTTATTTATTTTAAGTTCAAGTAATTTTAGCTGCCATTGCAATATTTCAAATTTTCAAATATTTCAAATTTAAATTTTCATCTAATCTTTATATTTTATTTTAGTTCAGCTTTATTCCAATTACTGAATTTTAAAAAAATACTTTGTTTAATAACAACACTGATTCATTAATTACAATTAGCACATGTCTCAACAGTACAAATTACCCTATCTGGACACAATTATTAGTGTTATTTTTTAATGAAAATGTTTTTTTTAAATTCTAAAAAATATATAATAAAATGTAATATACATTTAATGATCAAATATAGGATTTCCAGATTTTTTTTTTTTTTGTGCAATTTATGTTTTAAGTATAAAACGTTTTAAATATATTTTATGCTTACATTTTGTTGTTTGTTTGTAATGTGAGATTAAAATATAACTACCAGGTTTCCTTTGATCCTCCATTGGACATCAACAGCAGGATTTCCTTTTTAGTCCAGCAGACAATGTCTAAGATCTTCTTTAGGGGGTCCGGCACCCCTATTGTGTCTGCGCGGTGAGGGAGCGTCCATCAGCGTGACTCAAATGTCAGCTGTTTGTTTTAACCAAACTTGAGCATTTGGGCGAGGAGCTGAGGCCCGTTCGTCCACATACCAGAGCGGAATTGGGGGAAATGGGGGGTCAGGTCTGAAATCCGGAGGTGAAGAGGGGGTGGATTCAGTCCTCTTTTAGCCATAAAAGGAAATAAGTGCGTCATGGGTACTCAATACTACTCATGAGCTCCAGATGTGTCAGCACAAGCCAAGCGTCCCGGATTCTGCATGCCGTGAGGAGCAGTTAATAGTGAATACTACTGATCACTGTTATTTACAGCTTCAGTTCATCAGTACGTCAGTCTAGACTGAAGTGCCTACATTTGTATAACTTTTCTATTATTCATAAATATTAGCTTAGTTTAAAGACATTAAAAATACATTTTCAATGCAAGTAAGCTCATTTTTAGACTGAAATCTCCAAAACTTTCAAGACTGTTGACCTTATGCGCCAGAGAAACAAGCTCGCATCCATCTTTAGAATTTTTTTTAACTTTGTTTTTTTTCGGTAGCTCTGTATATTTCTATGGCATCGCTGTCGAAGAGTATTTAGCTGGTGAAGT